ATCAGACGCAGATAGGTGGACGAAGCAAGGTGAAACAGTTGAACAGGCGAAGCAATCGAAGGCGAATGATTGAAAGCTAGCAGACGAAGTAGTCGAGGAGATTGATGCAGTCGAAGGACGAAGCGAGTGCAATCAAAGGCGAAGCAATCGATGGCGAAAGAAGGCAGACGAAGCAGCTAGCGAAGATGGAATGAGCTCGAAGATGAAGACAAACAATTCATACATAAAAAATTCGACGTGGCTCTGATACCAGGTCAAAATTTTCAAGCAAATAGGTTGAATGTCTTTTTCTTTTGCTTTCATTCCAATAAATAATAGTTTGTACAATCTCTTTTAGGTAACTTAAAAAGTATTCCTAATCTAGATAAGGAGAGAATATGTACAATTAAAATAAATAAATTAGAAGAGAGAAATTTGTAAATAAACTAAAGAAGGAAGCTCCTAATTATAGGAAACTTGTAATTCAGTTGCCTGATTTATTTGATTCTTGATTGATATCTATTGCTGCAACAACAAAGTCCTTTAAGTTACCTTAAGATGAAAAGAAACAACTGTCAAGTGGAAAGAAAGAGCAATGGCCTCATAATTTGAAGGTAAGTTATCTGGCTGGTGTGCTTGCCTCCAAAATGCAGAAAGCAATTGACCAATTTGATCTTCATTTAAGATAAATAAACTTGATTCCTGCAGCGGCAAAAGAAGAAATAAATTACTTAAAATTAATACATAAAATGGAGAAAAACAGTATAAAGATTTACTACGATTATTTTTACTTATTTTTGTACATAAAAAACTGCCAAATATCTTGAATTACAAAACTATTTGCATCATGAAGTATGGATGGCAATTTCATAGAAGTTGGAGAGACCATTGAACTATTCTGAAATGGAGAAAATGTACTTACTGTCTCATGCGAAAAGTTCGACATGGCAGTCCTGTCAATGATTGAGCAACTTAATTTATGAAAACATGGAGAAAATTTATGATGCCATCCATGTTTCCATTCACCTTTGTACATCTCTTTTATGTTAGTTTCATTTTGCATGTCATTTCCTTTCTTAATCCCATTTCCATATTCCCTTTGGAGTTTTTCAAGCAGAGCAGTTGTTGCAGCAAATGCCGGTGTAGTTCTGAAATGCAGTTTCTTAGTTTCATACAAACTCTCTGATTCATATTTTGGATGAATTATAGTTCCAGCAAGGAGAACGGAAAATATCATATGAGCGCCCACACGTGCCTCAGCATCTGGATGCAGCATTGCCTTGAGAAGCTGAAGCAAAAGCGCCTCAGGAAATATCTGGAGAACGGGACATCAAAAGGCACCAAGTTCCATTGTCATAGAAAAAGAGAGAATCAACATTTGGATAATTCAAACTAAAAGAAAAGAAAAGAGGTAAAAAAGATATAACTTTTTTCCCAAAATTGATGATTAACCAAGCTGTGCCCTCGAAGAATTTTCACTTATTATTATGCTAGCAAGAAATTTGAGGATATTAGAAACTTTTCCGCTACAAATATCAGAAAAGAAAAGAAATAGACTCACCAATTCTGAATGTGATCGAGTGGATGTCAAAGAAATGATATGAGCGAGGATCAGCAAAGATCCAATTGTTGCCCTAGCAACAACAGCGTTACTGGCAAGCTTTTCAAGGGTTATAGTCATCATGTCATAAAGTGGGCTTGCATCTCCAATCTGGAACAAATAGAACAAAAGGAGATACAGAAAATGCAAATAAGCAAATAGTTTCCAAAATGTCTCCTTGTGCTAAAATAAACTTATAATTCCAGCAAACCAAATAATTCAAAATGCTAAAACCAAGTGCCATAAACCACCTCTGATCATTAACATACTTACCCCTTTAACAATCTCCAATAAGCAATCTTCAATAGAATCTTGAAGCAAGGAGTTCCAGCTAGCTTCCTCAGGTTTCACAATTTCAACTGTAAACTGTAGACTTCTTCTCAAATGTCTACATAAATTACTTACAACCCCAATTTCAGCAACCACGGATCGTAATCGTAGTTGTTTAACTAATGAAGTTGCAATCTGACAAATGTTGGACTTTAGTTGAGGATCATGTATGATATCCTTGTTGTCAAGATGTCTGACTAAAGCAACCAAAATAAATTGTTCATTTCCTGAGAGTCAACAAAAACATTGGAAAATATCACATCAGGAATTTCATATATATTCGAAGCAAATGAATATTTGATATGCACAAAAAAGGAAACGTGAATAAGAATGAAAAAGGTGAAACAAAACATTTAAATTCAACATAAGTGTGCAAATTAAATTTGAATATAGAATGAATTACCAGAGATTTTTGATAAGCATGCCATGCTCAATAAAACATTCAGAGCCAGGCCATGTTTTGGCCCCCAATGCTTGTGCATGTCAAAGTAGGTAAACATTGGATCCAGAATCCGACGCATTGTTGTGCTCTCCTTTGCTAGTTCGGCAAGTTTTTGAATGCATATTTGTGACCACACTTTTCGATTTTCATACTCCTCTCTGCAACAAATACGTGGATAATCAACAATGTGTCAGTCAAGATAGATGAACAAATAATGTATAAAAAATGCCATCAACAAGTATCAGATCCACAAGAAATCTATAGCTATGACTTGAGGATTGAAACTGAGAGATTAGGTATTGATATATTGTGATACATTGGATCACGCTTCACAGAACTGGATCTACTACCAAGCTCTTGACCGACGAAATCAAGATAGACCATGCCACTGAGGCCTCCACCAAGTCCTCTCAATTGGATATCATAAAAAGTAGATATATATATTAGGAGATGATTCAAAGCAAGTTATATTGTGTTATTTTTAAGATATTTTCTATGGAATGCGATACAAAATAAGAGCACATTCACAAGCATAAATCCTAAATGAGAAGCATATGAATCTTTTATAGTTATTAAAGTTTCACTGATGGCTAGGTTTTCTTTAGTGAAAACGGGTGCGGGCGGAGAAAATTATAAATCAATTGAGTACATAAGTATAGTTTTTCTTTTCTAGGTTTTCTTTAGTGAAAACGGGTGCGGGCGGAGAAGATTATAAATCAATTGAGTAAATAAGTATAGTTTTTATTTTCTTTTTCTTTTCTTTTTTTTTTATTTTGTGGGCAAACCAAATTATTGACACTATTGATCATCAGAAGTATACTCCTGAAGATGTCACTATTGATCATCAGAAGGGCATATTCAGGAGTATCCTACTCTATTGCCTCAGTCTATGGTAAGTCACTCAAAATGGACATTCCTACTTTTAATCTTTCTCATCCCTCCAAAGCCAAGGTACTTATTGAAAGGGACAATACTTTAATAGCTTATGAGGAAATTTGGTTAGGCGTATTACACCATGGATATTGGCAAAGAGTTGTGATTGAGCATTTCCCTTTGTATTACTCGAATTGTCGTATGTTCGGTCACTACATTTCTCAATATCACCATCTACACCCCATTTAAGACCAAAAAATCAGTATTCGGCCAGAGGTAGCGATTCCCCTCCTTCTAATATCACCATCTACACCCCATTTAAGACCAAAAAATAAGTATTCGGCCAAAGGCAGTGATTCCCCTCCTTCTAATCTACTCCAATTTATTGACACTATTGATCATCAGAAGGATACTCCTGAAGATGTCACTATCCTCACGGGTAAAATGTCAACCATTCAGCCTCCACACAATGCTTATGATGTAGGTTCCCTGCTTCCTCCTATGAAGCCTCTTTTCGTGCGGGCAAGTGAGACATTTCAAACTTCACCTGCCCTAGAAACTATCATTAATGTAACAGGTTCTAATATTTCTATTGCGTTTCTACCGCCTCCTCAGATCGAACAAGTTGTTACTGTTAGTCAGGCACATGAGGCTCATGATGTGCGACAACCTACACCTGACCAGCAATCTTTGGACCAATCCACTGATCAGATGAGTCAATCTTCGGATGAGGAATGACAGGTTTATACGTCTAAGAAGAAGAAGAAGAATGGAGGCTTACTACCAAACTTGATGGATGATACATTAGTTGTTTCAGGTAATGGCAACAAACTAAACAATTTGTTAGTTGGCTCTCGTCCTAAAACCAAAGGCAGAGGCAAAGCTAAACTGGATCATTCGCAAGCTAACTGAACCTGCGAGTGTTGGCAGAGTTTTGGCATACAATTTCTCTGTCTACATTTTAATCTTGGTTTTTTTTTATACATGTATTTTCTATGTGTGTGTTGTATGGTGGGTGATTAGGGTGTCAATTTGGGCCCTTTCATCCAACTCATATGTATCTTTCCTTTTATTAATATATTCGCCTTTCGGCTTTCTAATATATACCTAATATATAGATATATATATCCTCACAATTTTAAAATCCTAAATACAAATTATAGTAGAGAGATATTACCTAAAAATGTGGCATAACTCCTTAAATCATGGAGCGAGGAGAAGGAGCCAAACACTTCATAACAAGAGCATCTTATTGTACACATACTAGAGGTTGGTGATGCTCTTTACCAAAGTTTAAAAAGGCAAAATCAGAATCGAGGCGATTTTCTTTATTGAGATAAGGCATAAGCCTTGAAACGAATCAAGTCGTAAGCATAAAAAAATCATAAAATTAAAACTATTCCTAAAATATGACATAAGCTATGGATACGTTGATTTTGGTTTTATTAACAGAAAGAGAAACAACAAATTTTAATCTTAAAAATTGAAATAATATAAATGCTTGAAATGTGATTTTAGGTAAACATTCACTTAAAATTTAAATATTCTATGAGGTTCAAGATTCATAGTGGCCTCATCATTGTTTTCATCATCTTAAAAAAAATCATCATATATATTATCATTGAATTCCATCTTATTGAAAAATTTAAAATGTTTTTATTCACTATAATATTCTTCTATCAGTTTATTTGAAATCAAATATAATTTAAATAAATGAAAAGATTAATATCACAATCAAGTAATCCTATTTAAATTATCTTTTGACCTTTTTGAGGCATTGTATCATATTTAAATATAATATAAGTATTTTTTTGCATCACTTGATCATCTTTTGACCTTTTTGAGGCATTGTATCATATTTATTAAATATAATATAATAAGTATTTTTTTGCATCACTTGATCGAGGTGATGCCTCAAACACCTCAAGGCATAAGCCTCAAATGAAAAGGATATAAGCCTCACTGGCAACAATGACGATTAAACCTTGAGGCTTTTCTTTTGTGCCTCAGTTCGAGTAGCACATCAAGGAGTAAGCTCGAACAAATTTTTAAGCAATGCTCTATATAATTTCATCTGCATGATCCTAAGCTACTCCCTTAGAATTTAAGGTTGACTCCTACAGTTAGCGTAGCTCCACTAAACATGAGGTTTTCACTTACTCTATCCTTTTCCAGCCTTCAAATTATTTAATCACCTTAGCTATATTTTATTTCAAATGTTAAAGTATCCATCCAAATGTCATGCTAGAGGACTTCTAATCCATCAAAATCTATGGGTCAATTATACAAAGAAAATGGTCGCAAATCAAAGAAAGTGCAAGGAAAAAAGGAAATTGTCCAAATCTAATTTTACACATTATGACAGCATCATGATGACTTTTTGAACTTTAAGTTTTAAATTTCCACAATTTTAAAATTAAGAATTCAAATTATAAATTTTTTATGTCATCATCATGTGCTTGTTGGGATTTTGCATATGCCCTTGTGAATGGCTAGGAATCTCATAATCAAAATAAAAAATCCTCTTGATTTTTCCATCATTAAAATTATACTCCAATATTCTAAAATACTCACAAATACTCTTTTATGGCTTTGCTTAAGAATTAACTCATATTCAAATTAGAGCTTTCAAAGTGGGAGGTTTAACCAATAGACTCCTTCAAGTGATTTAACCAGTAAGCTCCACTAAAAAAGGATAACGCCTGTAGCCCAAATGTTCCCAATGACATTTTGTCACTTTGATTTGTGAACTAAAAAGCATATTTAATAGGGCAATAAGCTGCCGACTTAGATTAGTCCCTTTAGGCAGACATTCACCCCAAGTCTACAAGATTCCATTGGGTGAAACAACTTATGGCAACTGACAAGGATCTTTCTATCAAGTTAGGTCGACTACCTCCTCTAAGTAGACTAAGCAGGTTAGGTCGACTACCTCCTCTAAGTAGACTAAGGGCCACAACAACCATAAATGAAGAAACTATAGGATCTTAATCAAGTTCGTCGCCATTTCCCCCACCATCCCTTCTTAAGCTAATAAGGATAATTTCATAATTTAAAATTTTAAATTTGTTGTTACTACATGCTCAATCTGCATAATTAGTGCCTAAGGGGGGGGGGGGGGGGGGGTTTAATTAACCATAGAGCCTTGCGCTTATCGAAAAACTCGACAACCAGATCTTAAGTCCATGCAAAACGAGGGAGAAATCTCTAGGAGGCATCTTATCTACTGTCTCTTTTGTCTTCTATAAATTTGACCCAGAACTTAACGGTAAGTTCTCTGATTTGTGCTTTTTGAAGAAGACTGAGGCATCAAATTTTCGGAGCCCATAGAGAGCCCCATGGGATTCATTTTAATATATCTAATACACCCAATAGAACAAATAAATCATTTTTAAGTTTGCCTATAAAAATATGTATCAGCATTTTCTAATTCATTTTGGTTGGAAGAAAATAATATAAACATTATATTTAACGAAATATAAGCACCCATTTCGATCCTTAATGACTAAGTTTCACATGTTTTGCCCCCACATTCTTTAATTAAGAACATAATTATACATATAATATATTCATGCCAAATAATCTTATTATTTAATAATGCACATTTATAATTTTTTATATAGTCCAATAGCGCATCTTATAATTAAAACTTACAAAACACATCAAAATAATTATCTAGCTAATTTTATTTCACCCAATTTTAAATTTTTTATTTTATTTTCCTCTTTTAATTTATATTTAAATTACAATATTAAAATTTAACATATATATTTCATCACACAAGATGAAAGAAACAATTTATACTTTTCACTAGTATATTAATTTATA